CGGCTAAGACCCATTTCATGACGGAGTGGATGCATTGCATTATGGGTAAGCAAACGCAATCTGCCTGCGCATGCATTACTGATGTATTCCGGTCAGGCGGTCCCGTAAGTGTGGCTAGTTTACGGGGGTTTCGAGGAAAAGGGTTGAAATAGAAATGACCTTTTCCATTTGCATGAATTACTCCATATATGCACAGGCAGAGTTGCAAGATTTTTTGGTGAAGAAGCATTCCCCTACAGGGGCATAGTATTTTTCACAAATAATATATGGCACATGAAATTGGATTAATGATAAAGAGATTAAGAGAGAGACAGGGGTAGGAGTCGGATGAAAAACTCGTCTGTTCATGCAGAGCCAGAATGGTGGGTGTTAAAGCTAATCTTAATTGAGCTCCGGGCCCCGTCTTACAAAGAATTGATATCAATCGCAACTTACTTGCAATTGATATGTACATAAGAGGAGACTGCAAACTTGCAATTGATTTAATAGGATCAGTCGCAACTCTCTGTATTAGATGGGGCCCATGTATGGGCATCATATGTCGAGAGAAAATAGCTATAATTTATTCTGGATTGTTTATCCTGCAGTAGATTGATTGTTTGAACCAGTAAAATTATATTAAAAAACTCACAAACTTGCTGGAAATCATTTTCAATAAAAACCACGCCTCTCATTTGCACATACTGGTAAGTCAAGCAAATGCTGTCGGGCCTACGTAACTTGATTTCCTTATCTTTCTATGCTCATTCCTCAGCCCCTATACATTTTCTACCAAAATCAGTTGGCACTTGTCTTATATTTGTAATCTTGAACGTTCAGTTTATTTTCAAAAGATTACCAGAACTCAAGCAATTATCTTTAACTCTGTGTAAGTACACACGTTTAGCACCCTTCTGGCTCCAAACAGACAAACTCTCTGTTGAAGGTACGTCGAAGTATACCCTTCTGGCTCTCAACATCTGACATAGTATGTGTAGTGAGACATGGCTTCCTAACCTCCCCCCCCCCCACTATCCCCCTCCCCCACCCCCCTATCCATCCCCCTCCTCCTGGTTGGTCCTATATAACATCCATGGTCCTAATCAGCTAGCAAATTCAATTTGTTCGACGCGATTCATCCAGTTAACTGGCGCATTGTATCACCCCTTTCTAATCCATTCAAGGCGGAAATCCACATTATAGGGGGAACCCTAACAGGCGTAGAGGATGAGCAAGGGGTAGGGAGTCGCTTGTTAACCTCGTTCATTACTGCCCTGTTCAGACCAAAGGGAGTTCTATGAAACTTGTATAAATGAATGTCGTATATAAGGAATCATAATAATAAATGGACTTATAAAACACCTTTTTCCAGGGGATACAGGGCACTGTTTCTTGGTCCATGAACAAATTAATAGGAATTGTAGAATGTTTTCAGGTTTTAAAAAGTCAATTGAAGAAGTATTGTAAAGAATCAACATAAAACAAAATGGGTTTACACATAAAATAACAACGATTATATGAAGAAACGGTATGAAGAACTAGTTTAAAAGAGGTCAATTGACATAACGGTTGACCAATCATCAGTCTGCGTTCATGATAAGCCCCCTCAAATTACATAATTTGTTAACAATATGACATTCAGAGAAGGGTGGGAGTTTCCATTCGAAATGATGCTCACCCATGCATTTAGCTGAACAACATTTCGTAAAATGATGTTTTTTTGTAGGTCATTCAGCCTTGAAAAAAGATCATTACTTCAATATTTCATAACTACATGGTTTTTGCGTAGGAACACACTAAATTCTGGTAGTCTAAACTGGGGATAGGGGATAGGGAGTCTCTTGTTAACTTCCCTAATTAAGAGGATAAGACACAGAGGGCAAGAAAAGGGCAAGGCAATAAAGGTGCATCATAAGGAAGTTCAACACATTGTTCCAGCCTTCAAGGTCAACAATATCAGCTTGTTAAAGGTTGCAGAGGTCGTTTACTTTTTTCATATTAAAAAAAAATAAAAAAAAATTAGTGCTTTAAAAAACGACATCTGTTTGTGTTTATTGAAAACTGTATGTTTTTTAAGGAAATGACCCAATTGGTGTTGATTTTGTCATATTGATTCCAATTGGGTTAATCTCCCTCCTGAAACATCCTTTTTAACTCTGGATTTTGCATAAACATTGCAGTGTTTTTGCACTTCAGAGGTTGTTCTATACAATCTACATCATGACCACGATTATTTGCTAAAAGGGAAGTCCACCCTGACATTAAGTTGGTTTTAATAGTAGCAGAAAAATGGGAGGAACGAGTCAGTGAAAGGTTGAGCAAATTCCTTTTAAAAATAAGAAAGTTATGACATTTTTAAGTTGCAATCAATCAAACACAAATTGGCAACACTGTTAAGTATCTTCGGAAATCTCCTCAATTTGCTTTGTACATAATATTGCATGAACTTTCATTTTCTTCACTATTCATAATGGAATCAATTTTTTTCTCCATACAGGGGTTGTATAGAAACATGTCTGCAAAAAATATATTTAGGGTGCGTGTATGATCGAAAATTTTGTTGAGAGAAGTATAAAAATATCGGATTTAAAAAAAAAAGTCAGTTAGAATTTTTGATAACATAAATGAAACTGGTGGATTTGTCTCAACATTCACACCATTGCATGAGAGTCGATGGCTAGGAATATGGGATACTAGTAGTCAGATTTTGAGTCTTTGCATAATGTTTTGATATCTACCACTGATATACCTGTCCGTTGAGCATGAAGGGTAAAATTTGTCCTTGTTTTCACGAAGTGACGGTAGTGAGGAAAATCGTAACGCAAAGTGAATGCAATTTTTTTCACTACCGTCACTTCGTGAAAACAGCGACGAATTAACCTATCGAGTGCTGAATTCTCTCAGTCCCATAGGCTTAATACAAGAACCACCTGGTTCCAGTATGCAATGGGTTTATAACAGATACTTGTTAAACCATTTGAGATAACGCCCTTTTGGCATTCAACAGACATTGTACACAGTCATCGTTTAGCATGTTTGAAAAAGTGGGGGTAAAATTCTGAGCCTGCACATTTTTTCTCTTGCGAAAAAGAAACGACACATTCGATTCAGCAAGTCATGCAGAATCATATAATTAGATAGAAACATTATGGGGACACAACAGGTTGAGAAAAAATGATTCATGCCAAAATGAATATGGTAGTTTTATAAATCGCATTTGTTGCTTTGAATGTTGCTTTGAATGTTGTCATAATGTGACTGTCTTCTTTAAAATGTGATTAGCTGAACTATACATGTACATGTATACTTTCTCTCAAATTGAACATTTTCTGCACACTCCCCACTCCCTGCTACATGAAAAACAGACACTCCTGAAGATCCTTGTAACGCCCTAAACTGACACGGAGTGATCAAATTACTTTCCTCTAGTAGTCTGTTCAGACAGCTTGATATCATACAACAGTGGTACAAAGAAACGTTATATGAAGAATCGTTGTATGACGTATAGTGAAAGGAGCATACAGACAAGGTAAAATCATTGTATAAAGAAACATATAAAGAAACGTTGTATAAAGAAATGTTGTATGAAGAAACGTTGTATGAACAAACGTTGTATTAAAGGTAATACAAAGTTTTGGTATGACTATGGGGTCATGAATTTGGTTCAAATGAACATATTGGAAGCATATGCGATCCTATAATATGTAGTGATCGTTGTCGCGGTTGAAATCGAGTCTAAAGTTATGAAATTATAAATAATAAGCTCTTTATGTTGTATAGCGCCCTCTCAAGGTCAAGATATTAATTAAGCTAAAAAACAATGTTTCTTGACTAATATCGACCGATTAGCTATTCTCGTTTGGTAGTTATATATCAAAACTACATATTCTGACATTTTCAGGGTCCCAGCTACTACGGCTGTATGCGCTATTTGAAATTTATCAAAATTTATCGGGAGCACCGGTAAATTTTTATATTCAATTTTTCTCGAAAGCAGAAGTGTTTTAGGAGCTAAATTTTTTAGTGCTTATAATACATCCACAGGAGCATCCAAATATATCAAAATTGTAAAGAATCACTATCCAACCGAATTTCAAAATTTCCCCAAACTTTGTATAACCTTTAAGAAACGTTAACTAAAGAAATGTTGTATAAAGAAACGTTATATAAGGAATCATTTTATAATGCTTACGATAGTGAAAGGAGTATACAGACTAGATAAAAACTTTGTATAAAGAAACGTCGTATAAAGCAACTAGTTTTGAAGAGGTCTATATGGACATGACAGCTGGCCAATCACCAGTGCACGTTCACTATAAGCCCCGCCCAGCTTTACGATTTTCGTATGACATTCAAACTAGAGTGGGACCCTGATTCATTATGGAGTTTATGTTTGAAACGACGCTCAAACGTGCGTTTCATTATACAGTATGAACGTTTCTTTTAACATACATGTACATGTACGATGTTCAGACAAGAAGAATAAGTAGGATTCCTGTGTAGCTATACGATGAATCCTCGACGCATGGTATATCATCTTGAAAAGCCATGTGGTATGGTAAAAGGCACGAGGAAGAAATGATAAGGAAATAACAGTGTGATCATATGCTCATAATGGATATTTAAATTATTTACAGGCAAATAGAAAGAGAATCTGTTTCCTTGAAATATATTTAGAGGAGAGATAGAAAAAATAATTGCATATTATAATTTTGTATAAAAATATAAAAACAATAACTATATATAAATATAATTCAAAAATCATTTAAATATAAAAATACACCATAAACTGTCACTGCACATATTTTTCATTCCTATTCATAAACACATTCTCTTCCTCCTATTCAGTTCTTAGTTAGAAATATTGCTATAATTATCATCTGTTTGGGGCCATAACGGCATTGGCTCCTATACTTAAACAGTGTTAAATTAACAGCGCTAATGCCCTTGTTGCTCTGGGTTATCTCTGGACATGTATTTGGGTCATTCCATCGGGTTGGGTCTTTTCAGCATTTTCACGTGTTTGAATGCTTAGAAGCTATTTACTCAAATTTGAATGTATTTTTAGAAAAATAAAAGTATGTTATATTGAAGAGTAATGTAGTACAGAATAAATAAACATGAAAACAGAAACTTCTTCATCATATTTTTTTTTTGGTGAGAGTTTTACTACCGATGTCTCAGCGATTTTGAGGGTGAAAGTTGTGACATGAAAACATGTCACTTTCATGAACTTATTTCTGGAAAAAAGTTCATCATAATGCAATGTTTCCTACTTAAAACATGTCACCTTTAGTACCCCTACTATGTCTGAGAAGCTCAAGTGAAATGTGCAAAAAATCGGCAAGTTATTTCATATTGAAAAAACACAATACCTACGTTACCAACGATGTCCTAGGCACTTTTTTCGTAACGGCGGTAATTCTAGCATTTTACACAAATTTAGCAGGATATTTTCTCAGAAAGTTTCATCTTATTAGGAAGGTACAACCCCTCATGAACATATGTAGAAAGAATGATGATTAAATCGGTCGGTAAATATAAGAAAACAATTAATTTACCGCGAAAATCGGGCGCGATGTCCTTCGTAATTTGGTAACGTAGGTGTGAAATTACGGTGTTTGAGATATAAACCAGCCCGCTAGCTTCAGTTTTCGGTGTTAAAATGACCTGCTAGTTATTCACGAATGCGCAGAACATGTTTTTTGCCGGACTGCGACGACCTACCCCTACAGTGCAACCACAAACGTGAAGATGTCTTTGTAACGTGGTGCAGCCATTTTCGCCCGTCAGCGCCCAAATTGGTACGTAATATGTTTTCTAAGTTATTTTTATGGCCCGAATTATTATCATGGACAATGAAATTCCATGTTTTAGAAATGTAATTCCGTTTTAAATTGTGTTATTTTCAACTTAAACCGGTTTTCAAACCATCACATGTGAGTGAATATTTTACTGTTGTCCCACATACTGATATATGTGTTATAACGAAACATGCAAAATCAATGCCGGACTTTTACCCTTAAAAAGCTAGTTTCTTAAACAGAAATTGAATTTAGTTATAAGAATCCCGTAAATAATGATATTCATGATGTTCCTACACCTCAGATTTTTTCTGACAAGTTTTAAATTAATTAATATTATTTATATGGTGCCATTAATTGTCATTGAACAATGATGGCTAAGCCTAACGAAAAACACAAGTTATTGAACATTGCTTCCTTCAAGTTAGGAAGTTCAATCTGAGACCCGAAATACACAACTTTTTGGGCAAAAAAGGGGGTTGAGGGTTGGGGTTGAGATAGAGAAGAATGGGTTAAAGGGGGAGGGCACCCCCCCCCCTCCGATTCAATTAAAATTGGATACATAATAATGTAATGAGCCTTTTTTTTTAAAAATATATATATATATTTTTTTTTATTTTTTTATTTTTTATAAATTAAATAATCATTGATCTGGCTCCCCTTCCCCCTCATCCAAAGGTTGAAGTGAGGGATAAGGGGCTTCGACACCTTCCTTCCCCCTCCAAATAATGATAAATAACAAATATAATTTTTTAACAAAAATTTATAATTCAACACAAATATTAAACTTAAAAGAAAAATCAAAATGAACAACCAATAATAATACCTACTTCTATTTGGGCATGCAACGAGCCAAAAGTGAGGAACTCCCTATCCATCTTGCAATCCTCTGTGTAGTTGTTCCATCCTTAATTCTTATAATTTGATTTTACTACAGATCTAGATAGAAGTACTTGATAATTGCAAACACAACACACGTTTGAAATGAAAAATCACAGAAACAGTTTTGTTTTATTTTTATCTCATTTAATATTCTTTACTCATTGGTTTTTATTTATTTCTTTTCATGCATATTTATTAGATTGCTGCATCCATTTCATTCATGGCTCCTATACCTCCCTTGAGGATTCAGCTCAGGCAGAGAGAGATCAAGAGAGCAGGCAAAATGACCAGTCATCGAAACCTTCCTGGAAAACAAAGATCTTTCCAATCTAATCACTATTTTGAAGAAGATATAAAGTTGATCATTGATATCTATCAATATACCTCTTGTATGAATACTGTTTTTTAATTTACTGATCAAGGGATAAAATATATTTCAGATGATATTTGATGTAGTCTGTCATTTTTCAATGAGTATAAGAGGATAGTTACTCTAATATCATACTGATGTTACTCGGACATGATGTCCGTGTAACATAGGTAACTGGAGGTGTTGAGGTGAATATAGACTGTAAGATTTAGAAAGTTTTCTGTCATGACGTCGGTTTAGATTAACCATAATTTCATTTGGTCGTAAGAGGGCGTTTGTAGTTCGCCAGCCTAAAAGTCACGAAATTTGAAATGTTTTGTGGACAGTGATTCCATCAGTAATCCCCGACAATCGAGACAAGCCCAATGTTGTAAGTACTATAAAGCTGTTATTTGTATAAATCAATCTTTAATTGTTTGTATGAGGCCAAAAATGGCACAAGATATAAATCTAGTTTTCTGTAATTTTAAGATGAAAAGTACGTTAAAATGTTGTCTGTGCATGTAGCACCACATATAGACAAACGTAGGATAACGTGTGTGAATGCACAATTTGTGTATATATCAGTTTGTGTTGAGGATAATCTAGATTTGTGTGTAATGAGTGATGATAATTGACATGAAACAAGAGTATGAATTGTTTTCCTTGGTTATAAAGAATGTCAAGGGTGTAGAAGCAAATAGGAATTTAGTTCAGGAACCAAGTAAAGAGTGTAAGATAGAGGCAGGAAATAAGGCTGGTCGAGGGTTTATTTGTGTATGACGTTAACCTACAAGATAGAGAGGTATGATTTGTAAGGGTTATATTTGTAAACAAAGGTAGAATTTGAGACAGTTCATTAGAATAAGATAAATGAGGCAGTTATACAGTTTGTGTTTGCACAAGTGAGCTTTACTCACATAGTTTATTCTTGAAGGTTTTCTTTACTCAGTTATGCATATTAAGGACATTTATGGCAAGCTAGTTGTGCGATACAATAGATGTTTGTTTATTCATGTGAATTTGTACACATGCTTATGATTGCTTGTTTGTTTTATTGATATTACAGATGAACTGCATTTTATGCACGTATCTCAACTTGGATGTCGTCGTCCTTTCTTTAAGCCTACTGTTGGGGTCACTTCAGCAGAATTTAACGTCACACAAAGTTCATAACAGCTTTAGCATTCGTCACCATGAGTCAAGTAGGTGTTGATGATGTCAATCCAGAGGATTCTGCAAGTCAGGTTGGGAAGAGTTCCACCACGTCATCTGGACTTAGGACCAGGGCCAAGAGGGCTGCAATAGCAGCAGAATTAGCAGTTCTCCAGGAAGAACAAGAGATAGAACTCGAAGAAATACGCCTTAAGCAAAGGAAGGCTAAGTTACTCTTACGTGCCAAGCTCAGCGCAGCAGAGGCAGAAGAAGACGTGTATGAGCAACACAGGAGTGGCAGTAAGGTGTCGAGTATAGGGAATAGGAGTTCCAGTCAGCAGAATGTCAAGCAGGTGCATGAAAGTGCAGAGCATGCTACGGAACATCATCATCATGTCAGCAATCATGATGTCAAGGAACCTGCGCTCCTACAAGAGACTATTCCTTTTCCAGCTCAGCAAATGGCTTCATCTCCCATTTCAGGTCAAGCTTATCAACCACGAGACGACCGAGAATTTTATCTGCAGACCCAAGTTCAGCAACAACGATGGTTGGAAGCTATCAGTCTGGCTAATGTAGAGATGATGAAGTTTGATGGGAGTCCTTTGCACTTCCATGAATTTATGATGTCGTTCGACAACTTAATTGGTCGATCTTCACTCGATAGTGGGACAAAACTTATGAAGTTATATCATTGCTGTGAAGGAGAAGTTAAGGGCATCATACAGTGCTGTATGGTCATGGAACCACTGTATGGGTACCAACGAGCCAGAGAGCTGTTGGTGGAACGCTTTGGCAGCAAGTACAAGATAGGAGAAGCCTGGATCAAACGTATAACCACTGGTCCAATCTGCCATGCGAATGACCGGAAGGGGCTGCAGAAGTTTGCAGATGAGTTGAAGATCAGCATGGAAACTCTTCGAGCAATGGATCTACTGCAGGAAATTAGTAGCCAGAGAGAGTTGCTGAAGGTGGCTGAGAGACTTCCATATTACCTTAAAGGTAGATGGTTAAAGTTGGTGAGAGACATCAGACAGCAGGAGCGTTCTCCCGATATCTCGGACATGGCAAGGTTTGTCTCCAACGCTGCTGAGGAAGCCAATGATCCTGTCTTTGGAGATCTGACAGCAACAACAAAAAGAGTTGAAACTTCAAACCCAGCTTTCAACAAGAAGAGTACAAGAAGTAACTACATGTACGCTACAGAGGTAACAGAAGTAGCAGTCAACCTGAAGTGCCTGAAGTGTAGGCAAGAACATTCCTTGTTTGGGTGCGACAGTTTTAAATCCATGGCACCCGAGATGAGATTTCAGTTTGCTCAGGACAACAGACTGTGTTTCAACTGCCTGCAATCTGGCCACACCAGTAGGTTTTGCAGATTGAATAGAAGATGCTCAGTACAAGGATGCCAGAGAAAACACACAAAATTTCTCCATTTTGCACAGGATGCATCTTCATCTGCAGGAAGGATGACAACGACACAGGCTCCAGTTGAAACCCAGAACAACGAAGTCCATCAAGTCCAGAATGGGTTCGTTAAGAAGTGTGTCACAGGGGCCGGAAGGTGTGTGCTTCCCATTGTTCCAGTGAGGGTTAGAGCTCAAGGAGAGAATGTATTTGTGAATACATATGCACTGTTGGATTCTGGTTCAACCAGTACATTTTGTACAGCCACTTTGGCCAGAGAACTCAATGCTACTGGAAGGAAGCAAAGTTTAAGCCTGACAACACTGGAGAAGCGTAATAGCCCCATAGAGACCTCAGTGATTAGTCTGATTGCAGACACGGGACCAGATACAGACTGTGTGAAGCTACCCTGTGTGTATACCAGAGACGCCATTAATATCAGAGACACACACATTGCCAATGTGGATGACATTTCAGGATATCATCACTTAGAAGGAATCAACCTCCCGATCATTGAACGACATGAAGTTGGACTGTTGATAGGGCAGGATTCACCTGAAGCCTTGATACCTATCGAGGTGAGACGAGGACAGCATGGCCCTTATGCTGTTAGGACCAAATTGGGTTGGTCAGTGAGTGGACCTGTAGGTTCCAGTTCAGATGGTGTACCCAAAGCTACATCTAGCTTCATTGACAGTAATGATAGACTGGAGGAACAAGTCAGCCAATTCTGGAAGATCGAAGCTACAGATGTGCTTAAGAAAGACAAGGCAATGTCAGTCAATGACAAGAAGGTAATGGAAATATGGGAGAGGGACATCCAGCGGGAAGGTGCACATTTCCAACTACCGGTGCCCTTCAGAAGGAGACCACCTAACTTGCCTGATAACAAGTGGAGTGCAGAACAGCGTTTGAAATCGTTGGCAAGGAGATTGCAAAGAGATCAAGCAATGTATGTGAAATACAAACAGGGCATAGAGGATCTCCTCAGGAAAGGCTATGCAGAGGAAGTTAGTGAGGAGACTAGGCAACTTAAGGACACCCCTGTTTGGTATTTGCCCCACCATCCAGTCTTGAATCCCCAAAAACCAGACAAGATGCGAATCGTGTTCGATTGTGCGGCCAAGCACCAAGGGGTATCTTTGAATGATGCAGTGTTACAGGGGCCGGACCTTATCAACAATTTGATGGGAGTTTTGCTTAGATTCCGCCAGCAACCAGTAGCACTCATGTCAGATATAGAGGCAATGTTCCACCAAGTGAGGGTACCTCCAGAAGATCGAGACGTGTTGAGATTCTTGTGGTGGAAGGACGGAGACTTCAACAAGGAACCGCTGGTCTACCGGATGTGCGTCCACCTCTTCGGAGGTACGTGGAGCCCAAGTGTGTGCAGCCATGCACTTCGTCAGACAGCAAGAAACGGTGATGGTAATGGTAAAGTGGAAGCATCTAAGGCCATTCTCGAGAACTTCTATGTGGACGACTGCCTGGTGTCAGTTGAGAATGAAGAAACAGCGGTGAAACTTGCTGCGGACTTGATGGTCTTGCTCAGTGAAGGAGGCTTCAGATTAACCAAATGGGTCAGTAACAACCCATTTGTCCTGCAATCCATACCAGAAGAAGAGAGAGCTAAAGATGTGAGGGGTCTGGATCTCAATCATGATGCTCTTCCAGTCGAGAGAGCACTTGGAATCAGCTGGGATGTAGAAACTGATTGTTTGCTGTACAAACTTAGACCCAAGGACAAACCCCAAACCAGGAGGGGTATCTTGAGTGTTGTATCTTCCATCTACGACCCTCTCGGTTACGCCAGTCCTTTCATCCTAAAGGCTAAGATGATCTTGCAGGAACTAACCAGACTTAAACTTGCATGGGATGAGGAGATTCCAAGCAAGGAAATAGAGAGATGGAATGAATGGTTACAGGAACTACCCAAGATGACTGAATTCCAGGTCAACAGATGCATCAAACCACATGACTTTGGCAAGGTAGCAGAGTATAAGCTACATCACTTTGCAGATGCTTCAGAGAAAGCCTATGGAGTCGTTTCCTACCTGCGGATGAAGGATGTTGAGGGTCAGGTGCACTGCAGCATACTATTTGCAAGGTCACGTCTTGCACCCCTGAAGAGGATGACAATCCCACGGCTTGAACTGATGGCGGCTACACTCTCTGTCACTATAGACAGTATGATACAACGGGAACTGGATCTGCCGCTCCAAGAGTCAGTGTTTTGGACTGACAGTTCAATAGTACTTCATTATGTGAAGAATGAGGATAAACGTTTCCATACGTTTGTAGCAAACAGAATTACAACCATTCATGAGGGATCTGAACCAAGGCAGTGGCGACATGTTAACACTGATGTCAATCCAGCCGATGATGCCTCGCGTGGACTGACAGCTGAGGAATTGACTGGACGATGGAAAGAAGGGCCAAAATTTTTGTGGTCAGAAGAATGCGATTGGCCTAAAAGCTTGACAGTGAATGAGTCTAGCTTAGAGCATGACCCAGAGGTAAA